CTCAGCCAGTGTCGGTATCCCCGGAGTCGAGATATCGAGTGACGTGCAGTTTCGTGGTCACTTGGAAGACAAGGCCAAATTGGCCTCTAAAAAGCTTGGCGTGCTCAGCAGAGCGGGGCAGTATTTCATGCCGGCACACCGCTTGCAACTTTACAAGGCGCAGGTTCGGCCTCACATGGAATACTGTTCCCATCTCTGGGCAGGGGCACCCCAGTGTCAGCTCCTTCCACTTGACCGCATCCAGCGCAGAGCGGCTCGAATCGTCGACGACCGAGCCCTTTCCGATCGGCTCGATTCATTGGCACTGCGAAGAGATGTTGCATCCCTTTGCATTTTCTTTCGCATCTATCATGGGGAGTGCTCTGAGGAATTGTTCGGATTAATCCCAGCCGCCAAATTTCACGAACGCACATCGCGGCAGAATTCCCGTTATCCACCACACCATCTGGATGATTGGTGGTCCACTACTGTGCGATTTAGAAGATGTTTTCTTCCTCGCACGACTTCCTTGTGGAATCGATTACCATCAGCGATTTTTCCGGACCGATACGACTTAGGGACCTTCAAGAAAAGAGCGTACTCCTTTTTAAAAGGCCGGCAACGCATCTGCAATTCCCTCCCTGGTGTTGCAGTTGTTCATGGGCGGCGGTAGTCACTTACCATCAGGTGAGCCGCATGCTCGTTTACCCCCGCTCCTATAAAAAAAATGGAAATTACAATTTTGTATTCTCTTTTTATTCACGCGCATCGGGCAGTAGTCCAGCCCGACTCCGCTCGCTGCTTCTAAAACGTGCATTCGCTACGTGCACTCAGGGTGCTGTGTGCGAGCAAGGCAGGTACGTGCACTAAGTGTGTCGAGTGCTCGCAAGAGACTCGCTCACCTGAGCGAGCAGCGCGTCGGGCAGCGCTGCGAGCACGTCGCGCAGCAGCAGCAGCAGCCCGCTGCACGCCGTCCAGCCCGGCTCCGCGCCCGCTCGTACACGCCGCTGTTCAACAACGTGTACACACCTTATTACCAATGTAATGTTGGATGATAATGAGAGATATTTTGATCTATTTACGACTAAAAAGTTCACTATCATTACGTTTCAGAGGCGGGACTTTATTAGTAAAAGTAAATGTATGATAAGGCGCCAAGCTACTCTACCAACATCAAGACGTGACATTTAAATTTTGACAAGCACTGCTGACAATATAGGTATAATAGCCCTATAATTGTCTAAATTCCTACAATTTTATTGATATATTGTTTATCGATATTTTCAGGATAAAAAATCAATCTATTTTACACAGAGCAATTCATTATTCCCTTCGAACTGCCGTGGTGTACGGACGTGTTTTGTGCTGTCTATTGAGTTAAAATGATATTATTTTCATCGTTTTACGACATAGTGAGACTAATTGAAAAAGAATAGGGATATTGTGCAACACTCTCCTCTTGAACATTACAAGTGAGATAGAGCATATTACAGTGAATGCGAAATTATCGTTGCTTCTTAAAATTATTTCGCCACGCCCATTGACCAATACTTGATATGCCTTTGTTTTTGTACTGAGTATTAAAAATTCAATTGCCAACGATTTTATTTAGGCCTAACACTTTGAATTTCAACAAAATAGGTCTACATATACCCTTAATTAAATCATTATGTCACTTTAGCGCACCCCACCTAATGTTAGTGACATCAAACTAGCTAAAGAGCGAATTTTAAGACTTAGCTTTCCATTGACGTCGGTCGAGTTAGAGGTTAATATTTTTTACAGAAAGTTTACATTATTATAAACACATACGCAAAGTTTCAACATGCGGAAAAGCGTACTTTTTGAGAAAAAATTATTGAAAATCAATTATTTTTGCAATATTTATGCCAATCTCGATTGACGTCCGTCAAGTTGGGGGTTGATATTTTTTTTTACAGAAAGTTACATTATTATAAGCTCACACGCAAAGTTTCGACATTCGGAGGCGCATACTTTTTGAGAAAAAAAAATATTGAAAATCAATTATTTTTGCAATATTTATTTCAATTAAAATAGTAAAACTGACGCTATTTTGAATTGTCATTGTTATCGTCAGTCGGGATGTCAATTCTTTCCGAAAAAGATCGATTTTTAAATCGATCCAAATCGTAAGCTGATGTATCGATTCACAAAAAAATCGATATCTAAAATATCGATGTTTTTCATGTTTGCATTTATACCTAGTCGGGTCATAAGTATTGTCACACAGTAAAAACTTTTCTTTTAGAATGCTGGCCCCAAAAAAGTTTATTGAATTCGAATTTCGAATTGTTCATGAAAATAAAACTGTATACTTTTTAGAATTTTACTCATTTTTAAATATGGAGTGGATGCTTAAAGAAGACCGTGTTGCAGTTATTGCGTTGCATCGTTGCGGTTACGCGCCAATTCTAATTTTTGACATACTGAAAAATTTGAATATAACCAAAAGATTCGTTTATCGTACCATCAAACGATACAATGAAGACTCTAGTGTAGATGACAGGTCAAGAAGTGGTCGCCCTCGGTCTGTTAGGACTCCAGCAGTGATAAAAGCTGTGAAGGCGCGAATTCAAAGAAATCCCAAACGTAAACAAAAACTGTTGGCCCTTCAGATGGGGTTAAGCAGAACCATGGTGAAAAGGGTGTTAAATGAAGACTTAGGGCTTCGGGCATATCGAAGAAAAACAGGACATCGTTTGAATGCTCGTCTAATGGACCTGAGACTGAAGAGATGCCGCGCTTTGTTGAAGCGGTACGCGGAAAAAAATATCGGGAAATTCTTTTTTCGGATGAAAAAATTTTTACCGTAGAAGAGAGCTACAACAAACAAAATGATAAGATGTACGCACACAGCAGCGAAGAAGCGAGCAACCGTATTCCGCGTGTCCAACGAGGTCATTTTCCATCCTCGCTCATGGTATGGTTGGGAGTTTCTTATTGGGGCTTAACAGAGGTACATTTTTGTGAGAAAGGTGTAAAAACGAATGCAGTTTTGTATCAAAATACAGTCCTGATGAACCTTGTGGAACCTGTTTCTCATACCATGTTCAATAACAGGCACTGGGTATTCCAACAAGATTTGGCGCCAGCTCATAGAGCGAAGAGCACACAAGACTGGCTGGCAGCGCGTGAAATCGACTTCATCCGGTACGAAGACTGGCTCTCCTCCAGTCCAGATTTGAATCCGTTAGATTACAAGATATGGCAACACTTGGAGGAAAAGGTGTGCTCAAAGCCTCATCCCAATTTGGAGTCACTCAAGACATCCTTGATTAAGGCAGCCGCCGATATTGACATGGACCTCGTTCGTGCTGCGATAGACGACTGGCCGCGCAGATTGAAGGCCTGTATTCAAAATCACGAAGGTCATTTTGAATAAACTTTAGTGTCATAAGAATCTATGTTTTGTTAAGTTCATTTTGGTATATAAATGGTTATATAATGAATAAACTTGTTTCAATTATTTTATATTAAACATGTGACAGAATTTATGACCTGACTAGGTAATGTAAATTAGAATCCATTTTATGAAAAACAAGAAAGATACCATAATAAATGATCTCTTATTGAAATTTCTTTTATTTTAACAGTATCTATTAGGGCAGATAACAAATAAAATAGGTTAGTTTCAACTTATGTCAAAGAACCGAATTGATTGACCCCGACTCCACCTAGTACGAGTCTGTCCTACGCCTAAAGTGTTTTCATAGAGCCGGAGGCACGTAGGGGGAGCAGCCTCCGCCTGCTGTAACAAATCGTGGGCGAGGAGGGATGCCTGCGATTTGTTACGCAAAGGCGTAGTGGCTGCTCTTCCCGCAGCGCCGGAGACGTTGCAGTCTCAAAATAGATACAGAAATTCCTCTTAATCACTCCCCCTGTTTTTTTCTGATGAAGGGGATTTTTTTCTCATAGAATGGATTTATATTTACATTATAAATGCAAAATTGAAAAGTATCGAAATTTAAGATATCAATTTTTTGTGAATCGATCTTTTTCGGAAAAAATCGACAACCCTACTGACAATGACAATACAAATTACCGTCAGTTTTACGGTAGGATTTGACATAAATATTGCAAAACTAGTTATTATTTTCAATATTTTTTTTTCTCAAAAAGTACGCGTCTCCAAATGTTGAAACTTTGCGTATGTGCTTGTAATAATGTAACGTTTCTGTAAAAAAATATCAACCCTCAACTAGACGAACGTCAATGAAAAGTCGTACAAATTTTAACCCAAGATTCATATACAGCATCCGAAAAAATTTATTCTCATGATCCAGAAAACGTTGAGTATAAGCAAAGAATCAGCGATATGGTTAGCTATGAAATTAAAGAACTGCTAAATGATTTAAAACAACAACAAACTGCTAAATTTAATAGATTAGAATCCGATGTGTCAACATTAAAAGAATTAAACTTGGAAACCCAAAGGTCGATTGATGTTATGGCCCAAAAATACGATGATTTGTTATTAAAAATTAATAAAGTGTAGCAGGAAAACTCAGAATATCAAGACAGAATTAAAATATTGGAAAATGAAATAGAACATCTAGAGCGAAATGCCAATATTATTAACAAAATTATATTACAATATATCCAATATTATCCGAAAAACCAGTCTTCGATGTGTAAACTTGTAAGAAATATTATTAACAAAATTATATTACAATATATCCAATATTATCCGAAAAACCAGTCTTCGATGTGTAAACTTGTAAGAAATATTATTAACAAAATTATATTACAATATATCCAATATTATCCGAAAAACCAGTCTTCGATGTGTAAACTTGTAAGAAATATTATTAACAAAATTATATTACAATATATCCAATATTATCCGAAAAACCAGTCTTCGATGTGTAAACTTGTAAGAAATATTATTAACAAAATTATATTACAATATATCCAATATTATCCGAAAAACCAGTCTTCGATGTGTAAACTTGTAAGAAATATTATTAACAAAATTATATTACAATATATCCAATATTATC